CCTGCTGGATTAATTAATCACCGAGACTGTATAAATTGGTTTCTCAATTGTTTATGAAGGGGTCTTTTAACAACAGCAATTTTTCTGTTAATGGCAAGTGAGGATTTCATCATCTGTAACTGTGCTACCTTTTTGTTTCACGCCATAGTAAATTTCAAATTTTACTCTTTTTAGTGGCTATAACGTATGAAGGAATTCCATCTCTGTAAAGTAATTATTCTTTTTGCTTGCCTGGGAATATAAGTGCAGTTCGTTGTATTTTTGGTCTCGTAATCACCAGAAAAGCAGTAAAAGGGCCGTTCCTAGTCTTCAGCCACGGGTGCTATTTTCCGCAGTGGCTGTCCGTGTGTCTGACCCTGGCACGCTACACTGCCGTGCAAACAGGGCTCAGAATGGGGGGGTGCTGCTGCACTGGCACAGCCCTGCCACAGCCCCACCAGCACATGTTGGCTCAGGGCTCTTAAGGTTGGGAAAGGCCCTGTACCGCCCACCTGGCCCTGTTGAAACCGAGCCATACTCCCGCGTGCTGCTGCCTCCGTACTGAGCCCGGTGATGCCATTAACATGTAATAAGGCCATCACCACCTGCGACCCTCGGCACCACCCCAGGCAGATGCAGCCTCCCCCCAGCTGGATTTCCCACCCCTGAGCTTTGTTAGGGTGGGATTTCTCACAAAACAAAAAAGCGTGGGCATCAAGAGATGCTGCTATAGATGCACAAGTCTCCACAGACCTGCTAGATTATGTCCGTAAGGTCTCACAGGAGCTTTTTGGTGCTGTCCTAAAACACCCCCGCAGCTGTCTCTGAGTCTGCAGGACAGACGAGCCCCACTGCCTATGACGGGTCATTGCAATTCAGCAGAACTGCTTTTAAATAGGTCTGCTGGTATTTGGGAGGCCGGACCGTGAGGAAGCGTTATTTCGTGTACACGCTCCGCAGCACTGGCGGCAGCAGGCAAGCCAGTTTGCTCTGTTGTCTCTGTCCGCACGCACACGTGCTCCTCAAAGCGAACTCATTTCTAAACAAACAGGTTTGTAACTTAATGTTCTTTCTTCATCCGGCTGCCCGGCTTTGATCCGCCGGTTATTTCCATTGCCTTCAGTGGGACTGCTCACAGTTGAGTGTCTTGTTGAATCAAGGCCTAAATATTCTGAAAATCTGCATCAGCAAAACACGCATCTGCTCCGGGCTAATCTTACCCAGCAAGCCCCACAGCGTGCTTAACCTTAAGCCACTCTTCAGACCTATCAATGCTAATCTTAAGTGCTTTGCTGATTTGGAGCGCTATAATTCTCCAGAGGATGTGGCTGCTGCTCCTTCGGACACCAAAATTAGCCTGAAAACGGGCTGGGAGGTGCAGGCAATGTCCTCGATCCAGGACGGGCTGGCTGAGCCAGGGGCTGCGTCCCCAGGATGCTTCCGCAGAGCATTTCTGGAGCAGGCCGACAGTGCTGCAGACGGCGGGTACAGGTACGGAGAGCAGGGGTCCTGAGGGGAGAGGGGAACTTTCCCCCGGCCGCCTCGCCATCCCTCGCTGCTGGGATTGCGTCAGAGGTCTCGCTCCCAGCCAGCATGCCAGCTTTCATAACAATGAATTATAACTTGGCACCTTTGTAGCACTCTCCAGTTCAAAGCTGTGCTGAAACATTATCTAATTAATTCGCACAACAGCCCTGGAAGGCAAGAAAGGGAGGTAGCGAGCTGAGGTACTTGCCCAACGACAAACACTGAGTCAGTGGGGGAGTGGGAGGAAAGCTTAAGGGCCCTTGATGTTTGGATCTGGGGTGCCATCCTTCTTGTCATAACAGCTTTTCAGTCGTTTAAAAAATAGCACCCATATACTTAATTACAATTGCATTGAACTACTCCA